GGCGGGCACAGATCCACCAGGCGAGGATGGGCCTGGGGGTGACTGCTTCATCCACCCCCCTCCATACACAGGATGTGAAGGGGGTACCGGCTAGGGAGGAGGGGAAAGCCGCCACAGCACCCCCTCCTCTTCCCGCCTCTCCCAACAGTATGGCATTCAACTCCCAAGCTGCCGGCTCCCCAACTTTCAGTCCATCAGCTCCGACCCACACGGCTTCCGCCTGGCTTCTCTTGGGGTCCAACCCCCCCCCCAGGAGGATCCCTCCTCCCTCCCCTCCTGCCTCCAACTTCATTATTGCCTTCATTTCCTCAGCCAGGTGTCACACCCACACAGCACCCCGAAATAAACCAGCCTCAGATAACACCCCCCTGCATGGCTGGGGGGCGGTGGGTATCCCCAAGAAAGCACTTAGGAGGGGGAGCACTGGTCCCCCCACTGCAAGCACCCCAAATCGACTCTCCCCCCCATCTTTCGCATCTCTTCCCTGCCCGCCCCCTCCGGTGCACACAAGCCGAGAAGAGAGTTCCAGAAATCACCAATTCCCATAGCGAAATTTCCAAGCACTGGAGAAAAAAAAAATCCGGCCCCCCCAACCCCAAAAGCAAGGCCCGAGCTGGGGAGAGGTGGGAGGGGAGAGTTTTAAGAGGTCCCTCAGGGGTCCCCTCTTTTTTTTTAATAGAGAAAGCTGGATCCTGAGAACTTTCCGAGGTCGGCAAACCTCTAGCTTCTAGCCTGAGATTCCCCAAGTTTTCTAGCTCCCTGTTTTAAAATGCAAAGGTGGGGGGGGGCTGGGGGAGTCAAGTGTGTGTGTGTGCACACGTGTGCATGCATGTGTGTGAAATATCGGTCACTCACACTTCAGTACGATTCACGCTAGGGAGACTGATAACTAAATAGGAAAACCAGAACGGGATTCAATGTTGGTTGTGGTGGTGGGTGTTCGGAGGGGCGGGAAGGGGACCCCCAACTTAGAAGCACGTGTAGAAAAGGTACCGAACAGACAAGCGCCAAGGTTTAAGAAGTAGAAACCCAGCTCCAACTTGCCTACCCACCCCGCTGTAGCTGGCCGCCCCCCAAAAAAAATACCAACTAGGGTGTCATGGGGATCCATTTCCAGGGAGAGGATTCCCCCCCACAACCTTCTCTTGTCACCCATACTTGCGGGGAGGGACCACGTGCCCGGGACTACAAGTAGGTGTCAGCTAGCTCTCCCCAGCTAGGAGTAGAGAGCGCAGAAGGGAGACCCAGTCTCTTGGAGGGAAAATAATCTCCAGGTGCAGCCAGCGTGGGGGGTGGGGGGAGGTTCCTCTTGAAGATGGGTGTGTGGGTAAGGGGGGGAAATGGCACCCCAAATTCTTTCTCGAAGGGGAGCTGTCCGTGGCCGGGCGAAGACAGACAGCTCTCCACTCCCACCAAGGTTTGCTTTCATGATTTTTTTTTTCCTTTCTCGAAAGAAAGAGACCGTGGTGAGCAAACAGGTTTGGCAGGGGAGGGGGGGCACCCCCACCTCCACCCCCTCCCCAACCCTCAGGGGGTTTCTTTTTCTTTTCTATTTTTTTTTTGTCTGCGTCCGACTTCAAAGACAGTTAATCGGCTCCTGTCAGTTGCCCGTGACGAGCAGGATTTGGGCTGTTTTGTTTAGGGTGAGTTTGGTGGCTGTGTCCTCTCCCCCCCCCCACCTCACCATGGGACTAGAGTGAGGGGGAAACTGAGTCAGGTCCCACCAGGCCAGACCGAGACCAGAAACTGAAGTCCCAGACTTTCAGATGAGGCGCCTTGACCGCGAAGGAGGAAATAATAACAATAACCATAACAAGAAGTAATAATAATGCTAAAGCAACTCGTCACGATGAGCAAATAAAAAGACCCCCAAACCCACCAGGAAGTGTGATCAACCTGAGCCACTCACTCAGGTCCTGGGGTGAGGGTCCCCCTCAGACCCTCGTGCTTGCTCTCCTGATCTCTCCTAGCCCCTCGCGCCCACGGGCACTCTCCCATCCCCCCCATCAGCGGCTCCTCACCGCCCCCCCACAAAAAAATCTTGGAACAATCTGGAATCCGTTGTAGCCCGTGTCTGCCACCTTGGCCTCTTCCATCTGTCCTTCCCTCCTCCGCTATTTCTAGCCTAACCTGATTTGGGGTTGGGTTCCCCCCCAATGGGTGGGTAACTCCCCCAAAATGGGGCCCTGTTGCCTGCGTGGCGGGTGTGTCCCTAGGCTCCAGGGGGGAGGTATTCCTTGCACTGGACTCTAGCCGGGAGACACCCCGTTTTCGCTTATGCTCCGGGACACTGAGCTATGAGGGCTGGCGTGGAGGCTGACAGGACTGTCATGTCGCATCAGACACAGCAAGGCCCCGGCCGAGCCCCGGCCCACCCCCGGCCTTTCTCCTCCGCGGGCGATCATAGTAGTAGTAGTAGTAGCAGCTTCCTTCTGGAAGCATCCACAGGTTTTCCTCTCCTTCTCCCTCCCCCTATCCCGACCCCTCCCCTCCCCCTCCCACCAACCCGGTGGTCCCCTGGGATCAGTGACTTCCTAATTGTGTCCATTTGTTAAGAGGGTTTTTGTCATGCAAAGTGAGAGAGGAGGGGGGGGAGCAGTCGCCTCACTTTTTTTCCTTTCCCAGTTGGCCTTTGTTTACCTTCAGCCCGTCGCTCATTTATTTATCTATTATTTATAGCCGTCCCCCCCCTTCTTCATACACAAGGGGGGGCGGGGCGCGTATGTTAATTGTGTGCTACCCTTTAATTGAATTCTAAGACCCGTCTCCAAAGAGCAAAAAGCGTGGGCAACTCCCAGTCGCTATTCAAGCCCATTCAGCTGGACAACTGCTAACTTTCCTCATCATCATCATCTTAAGGAAAATCCCCCTTTGACCAAAATAAAAATGGTTCAGAGGAACAGGCTGTAAATAGCATGTCATACACGTCCTGTTTGGGGGGGGGGCTGACAATACGGGGTCTCGGCGTTGGGTGTCTGATTGAAAAGCCCACATTGGTTGGTTGGTCCCCCCCCCCCCCGTGTGTCTAGCCACCAACTCCCCAGATCCCTTTGGAGCCTTTACCCACCCCACCCCCCATCTTACCAAATCAAAGCCTGCACAACACAGGCAGAAAAAAGCAACCACCAATGGGGGGGTAGCAGGAGCTGGGAGAATTTTTTAAGGGGTGAAACTCCTTTGATTTTTTTTTTGAGAGCAAATCCTAAATAATTGTTTTTTTGGGGGAGGGGTAGCGTCAAAACTCTCCGCTTAGCAGGACACAGTCCCTTTCAAGTAAATACTGGGGTGGGGGGGGGAGAAAGCTACTTAAATTTTGCGACTAAAAATAATAATAACCTCGATTGGCTGAAAGAGCCGTTCACTAAGCGCACGGGCTCCTCACCTCGCGGTTTCAGTTGTTGTTGTTTAAATCTCCTTGACAGTCCGGGAAGGGCATCTAGGACACTCTGTTTTTCCCCGGTGCCTTAGATTTTTATGTTTGTTTATTTATGTTAAACTTAGGAGCCTTAGGTGTCTACACGCTAGTCTTTGCAAACATCTTTTTTAAAAACAAATTAAAAGAGAGAGATTCTTTCCACTCAGGTGAGCTCGGAGCTCTGAACTGAGTGCGGACATCCATCCACCGTTCCGGACAGACCTGCAGCTAGTTCCCAGGGGACTGCCCCCCCCCACTTAGCTCCCCACTTTTCTCAGGAGTTTAAAATTTTTTTTCCTCTAACACAAATGCCCCAGAACTCAGAGGTCTAGGTGTATATCCTCTCTCTCTCTCTCTCTCTCTCTCTCTCTCTCTCTCTCTCAAGTGATCTGATCAAGGACGGACACTTTTTGTCTAGTCTCTAAAGGTTCTTTTTTTTTTTCTTTTTTGGAATGACAGATTGTCTTTATTCAAAACGTCTTTGTTCAACCAATGAACAGCGTTCCCAGGTTAAAAAAAATATCCTTCTAGGGGACATCTCCCTTTCATCCCACCCCAGCCCCCCACAACTTTCCACCTCCCACGCCGCCCAAGACATCATCAAAAACATGCATGACCATTTCGGATATTTTTATTCTTAAAAAAAAATTGCTGCTGCTGCTGCTGTTCACTTTCTACTTCCCGGCTTCCTAACGCCCTTCCCTGGCATTCTATGTTAAAAGTGAAGTTGGGTCTGTTCAAGACACCAAGTTACATGAGCCACGCGCCTCCTGCTTGCTGATTTTCTTTTCAGAAAAGCAAAGCAAGCTGTAGCGTAGCACGTTTTTGGTTTTTTTTTTTTCTAAAATAAAACCATTTCCCTTTCTGCAGTTTGGAACTTTTAAACCTCCTTCCTGACACACACACACGCACACACACACGCACACGCAATGTCAACCACGCACAGAAACATAGCTAACTTTTCTGTGCGACCACGCACAGAGACATAGCTAACTTTTCTGTTTTCCTTCAAGGGGAAAAGACACACAAAATTATATATAGATATAGATAGATATGCATATGCATGTTCCAGGATCGGGGCTGGTCCAATTTCCACGCTTCAACAGAACAGACCGAATAGGGGCGACATAAATAAAGCCAAAAAACTGCCTACTTTTTTTTCCATTTTTTTTTGTCCAAAGTTGGGGCGAGGTGTGGGGGAGAAGAGATACAGTTGGAGAACAACTTTGGGGAAGGAGGGGGATTCGCACGGGTGTGTGTGTGTGTGTGTGTGTGTGTGAGATGAGTCAGAATAATTGTTAATCCAGTTTCAGGCACCCTGGGGGTGCCAAGTTGGGGAGTAGAGGGGGCTCCTTTCTTCCTCCTCAAGGAAGAGGGGGGGAGATGGGTGCTTAGCTCAGAGTCTGGGGGGGTGCAGGGTAGAGAGGAGAAGGAGCAGAGCTGACCCACAGGCATCTGAAGATGGGGTGCAGACCTCCCCCCCCCCGCCACACACCCACCGTCCCCTCCACAGACACATAACTTCCAAACCACCCTTGAGGTCCGTGCCAAGCTGAGAGGATTTTTTTTGGGGGGTGGCTGGCCGTTACATAGCCGTGGGGTGTGCGGATGCGTACGGGTCTATGCCAGTCTTGGTCATGCCCGGGAAGAGGATGTAGGCCACGGGAGGCTGCAGGGTAGACGTAGACCAGGCCGTACAGTTACAGGGGACTACGTAGCCCGGGTTGGTGGGGGACGGGTGGGTGTGAGTGTGCTGGCTTGAGCACCCCAAACTGCCGAAGGCTCCGTTTTGGTAACCCAGGGTGGACGCATAGGGCAGGGCGCCGGCGGTCAGGGCGTGAGGTGCGTCGCCCATCTTCTGGATGGCACCGGAGCCGAACTGTGTGGGGTCCAGCAGGGAGTAGGGGGCCGAAGCAGGTGGCAAGAAGGCCCGGGCTTTTTCGGGGACACTCAGGAGACTCTCAGAAGCCCCCACCACCGCAGCCGCGGCCGCCGCTGGCAATCCAGCCACCTTGAGGGGGTCAGCCGTGGCATCGCCCAGATAGGGCAAAGGGAAGACATACCTGTCCTTCTTGAGCAGGTTTTTGGGTTTACGCCGGGGCCGGTACTTATAATCGGGGTGCTCCTTCATGTGCTGGGCGCGCAGCCTCTTGGCCTCGTCGATGTACGGCCGCTTCTCCGCCTCCGACAGCAGCTTCCACTCGGCGCCCAGCCGCTTGCTGATCTCCGAGTTGTGCATCTTGGGGTTCTCCTGAGCCATCTTACGCCGCTGACCCCGAGACCAAACCATGAAGGCGTTCATGGGCCTCTTGATGTGGTCCGAAGGTTTGGACATGGTTTCCTTCTCCTTCCCCGGAGGGGGGGGGGGTAGATGTGCGCCCTGCGCGCACCGGGGTGGCGGTGGTCGATCCTTCTGGTCCGTCGGTCGGTCGGTCTGTCCGGTCCCCTCTGTCTAGCCTGATCAAAGGGCTCTATCCACCCCCCCTTTTCTTGGGGGAGCTCTGTGATGTCCCCCCCCTCCTTCTCCAACTCAGTCTGGGCTCCTGAGGAGAGCAAGCGGAGGGAGGTGAGGGTTATGCCGGATCCAAGCTCCTCACCCACCAGCTAAGCTTCCAAAGTTGAGCTGGCCATGATGCCACGAAAGCACCCCCCAAAAAAGGATCGAGGTTGGGGGGGGTGACGGTCAGCCAGAGGCGGGAGGTGGGCAAGTTTCCAAGGAGCAGACAGTCCCAGGATGAAGTAGCCAGGTGAGTGGGTTTTTTTTTTCCCTTAAAATTAAAGGAAAAAAATGGTTCTCTTTTTCTGGCAGGCTTGTCCGTCTGTCCCTCTGCACCTGCGGCTGCCTTCTTTCTCCCTTCCTTCCTTCCTTCCTTCCTTCCTTCCTTCCTTCCTTCCTTCCTTCCTTCCTTCCTTCCTTCCTTCCTTCCCTTCCTTTCCTTCCTTTCCTTCCTTCCCTTCTCAGATCTGTCCACGGCTGGCTCTGGGTTCTGATGTCTGGCTGTGTGGTGTGGCTCAGGCCTGTTCTGGTCGTGTGTGTGTGTGTGTGTGTGTGTGTGTGTGTGATGCACAGCCGGCCCCAGCCCAGCACCTGGCTGAGAATGCAGAGGTTTTTTTTTTGGGGGGGGGGGGGAAGGGGGAGGGGGAGGGAGGAAAGCAGAGCCCAAAGCGGTGAAGTTCAAAGGCGAGGTGGGCCGGGCCTCTGACATAAGCGCAGAGGGGCGGCGACTCCCCAACCTGGCCACCAATCAGCAGCCGGCAAGGCCAAGTGTGTGTGTGTGTGTGTGTGTGTGTGTGTGTGTGTGTGTGTGCACCTGCCAACTCAGGAGGAGCAGGCTGGAGAGAGGGAAGAGGGAGCCCCATTGCTGGGGGAGAGGGGGGGATGGAGGTGGACAGCAGAAGTCCAGGACTGAGTGAGGAAAGGTGTGTGTGTGTGTGTGTGTGTGTGTGTGTGTGTGTGTGTGTCTGTCTGTCTGTGCAGTGTCTGGGAATCCTCATCATCACCGTTCCTATTCCCTCCCCACCCCCCAGAAAATGAGGGTTCCTGAATCCACATACCTGGGGAGGGAGGGGGTGCCCCCTCAAAATGCTCGGACAGCTGTCTCTCCCCCGCACCGCCCCCCCACATACACCCCAGGCCACGATTCTTCAAAGCACGAATCAAACTCGGGGTATTCGCAAGGCAAAATCAACTTTTCTTCTTCTACGCCAGAAACCGCCGTGCGTTCTCGGGTGGCAGAATTCCCACAGTGCCCCCCCGCCCCCCTCCCCCACCTGGCTCAGCTTCCTGGACTCAAGGAAGGAGACAGGGTCGGGTACTGGCATTTCGGAGCTTTGAATCCTGCTTGGGGGGGTGGCGGGGGAGCCTAGCACCTGAAAGCCACACCCCAAATCTGAGCTTCCACATTGCGCTTCTTTTATGCAGTGATACGTTAGGTTTGCCCATCCAACTTCTCTCCTCTCCTCCCCTCCCCTCCCCTCCCTCCCTTCCTCCCTCCCCCTTCTCTCTTTCCCTCTGTCTCTCCCCCTCCCCATCCCAAAGCTGGATGATGGCAGCCAGGAGGCCTCGACCTGGGGTTCTCAAGGTGTACCCCACAACCCTGATTGGGTTCCCCCCTCCCTTAGACACTTCTTCCGCTCCTTCTGTGAGTCAGAAGCGCTTTCTTGGGGGGGGGGGTAAAGAGAGGACGGAATAAACCCCACTGAGCCCACCGAGCTGCTGAGCCCAGCCGCGGGTCGCCTTTGAATAATTGCCTGCCCTGCGTGATGTGCCCTGGGGGTGGGGTATTTATTAACTAGGAGCCATTGCCCACGCCTGGCAGGACCTGGCCGGTGTTCTGGGCTTATTGGCTTTTTGTACCAGCCTCTCTCTGGAGGGCGGGCTAGGAGTGTGTGTGTGTGTGTGTGTGTGTGTGTGTGTGTGTGTGTGTGTGTGTGTGTGTGTGTGTGTGTGTGTGTGTGTGTGTGTGTGTGTGTGTGTGTGTGTGTGTGAGAGAGAGAGAGAGAGAGAGAGAGAGAGAGAGAGAGAGAGGGAGAGGGGGGTCCCAGCTAGGAGAATGTGGGGGTGAAGGGGGAGGCAGGTACTTTCTTTTAGAATGTGCTGGATGGAGTTTGGGGAGTTCGTGTCTTCCTCCTCCAAGGTATCTCCCTGGCCCAGGAATGATCGATCGATGGAGCCAGCGCTGGCTCTTTGGGGGTGACCCCCCCTCCTCCACAATCACCCACACCCCATCATTCCCATTTTACAGATTAGGAAACATATAAACCAACCAGAGGAAAGAGCGGCGATGTGCAGGGGGGGGGACTCCGGGTGCACTTGAACCCCCTGAGCAGCGAGCGAGTGGGTGGGGTTTTCCCCAACCGGTGCAGCACCAGCTCACGCGTCCAGATGCAATTCGATTTGGGGTGCTTTGCCTGCAGGTGGACCCCCAGAGCCTCCCAAGCCCACCTGGTGGATAGACCAACCCCGACTCCTCTAGAGTCCTCCACCAGCCACGGCCACGCGCCACTGCCGGAGCCATGGCCACTCCTGATTGGTGGAGAGGGGCAGAGCCTTCACCCCCCCTCCCGCCAGGCCTCCTTCCCAGAGCCTCTGGAGAGCTGCCTCCACTTCCTCCCCTCCTCCTTCCCCTCTCCCCCTCCTGTCCTCCTCATCTCCACCCTTCCTCCTCCTCTTCCACCTCTGCCCCGTGACCTCCCCAGAGCTGGCCACTAATAGTAATAATAATAGTAATGATAATAAGATGATGATGATGATGATGATTTGGAGGGCCCTGGCAGGTGCACAAGCAGCTTGGGGGGGCAGAGAACCCTGATTTCCATAGGTTCGATGCCCCCGCCCGCCCGCCAGCGGGGAAGTCTTGACTTTGAGACTTGATTCTGATCGTTCCCCCTCCCACACACAGGGCACAGTGAACCCCGCAGTGAACACCACAGCCTGCTGTGTGCCCCCCCAGCCTGCGGGGCTCCTGGGGTGCTGGGGGGCTGCTGGGATTCAGGGACAGGAGGGAGTGCGCTGTCAGCAGTTCAATGGGCTACCCTCCCTCCTCCCCGCCCCTCCTTCCTCCTCTCCTTCCCTCCTCTTCTTCCCTCCCTCCTCCTTCCTCTTCTTCCCTCCTCTTCTGCTTTCTCCTTCACCTCCTCCTCCTGCCTCTCGTCCTTCTCCTCCTCCTTCTCTTCCACTTTCTCTTTCTCCTTCTTCTCTTCCTCTTTCTCCTCCTCCTCTTCTTTCCTCCTCTTCCTTCTCCACTCCCACCACCACCTCCTCCTCTTCCTCCTCCTGTTTCTCTTCCTCTTTCTTTGCTTCCTCCTCCTCCTCCTTTTCTTCCTCCTCCTCCTCCATCACTTCCTCCTCCTCCTCTTCCTCCTTGTCTTCCTCCTCCTCCTCTTTCTCTTCTTCCTTCTCATCCACCACTACCACCTCTCCTCTTACTCCTCTTCTCTTCATTCTCCTCCTCCTCCTCTTCCACTCCATCTCTTCCCCTTCTTACTCCTCTTCCTCCTCCGCCTTCTACTCTTCCTCCTCTTTATCCAACTCCTCCTCCTCTTTCTCTTCTTCTTCCACTTTTTCCTCTTCATTCTCCTCCTCCTCCTCTTCCATTCCTCCTCTTCCTCTTCTCTCTGCACGCCCCATCCTCTCCCTTTCCTTCCATTGCTTCTTGTTCTTTCCCCATCTCCTCTTCTTCCCTCCCTTCCGGTCCTCTTCCCTTTCCCTTTTCCCCTTTCCCCTCCCTCCTCCTCTTCTCCTTTCCTCCTCTCACTCCCCTTCCTCTTCTCTACCCTCTTCCTCCTTTTCCTCCTCCCCCCTCAGTCCTCCCCTCCCCTACCCCTCCCCTCCCTCTTCCCTCCTTCCCTTCTCTCATTCCCTTTGCTCCTCCTGTCTCTCCCTCCCCTCCCTCCCCTCTCTTCCTTTCTCCCTCTCCTCTGTTCTTCCTCTTCCTTCCCTCTCTTCTTCCTCTCTCCCTCCCCTCTCTTCCCTTCTCCCTGTCCTCTGTTCCTCTTCTTCCTCTCCCTCCCCTCCCTCCCCTCTCTTCCTTTCTCCCTCTCCTCTGTTCCTCCTCTTCCTTCCCTCTCTTCTTCCTCTCTCCCTCCCCTCTCTTCCCCTCTCTTCCCCTCTCTCCTGTCTCAAACCCCCCTTCCCCAGGCTCCAGGGAGTTGGTGGCTGTAGACCATTTGCATTTTGGTGCCCCGTGAAGTTCAGGGAAGCTTCCTGTCCAGGCCTCACATCCTGGGAGAGCCATCTCCCACCCACCCCATCCATCCCTGCTGGACGCCGGGGGGGGGGGGGGGAGAAACCGTGGCTCTGGGGAGAGGCAGGTGGTTGGGCTGCTTGCTGGAGGCCCGGGAGGGGTAGGAGGGTTGGGGATCCTCCGAGGATGCGGATTTCCCACAGGGCCGGGGGAGTGTGCAGTGTGCAGGCCTGTGCATTCTACCACTTGGGCATTTGGGGCTCCTTGTCTCCCCCCACCCCAAGAAGACTACACATAACACAGAGGGGTCAGAGCTGTTGGCAAGTTCCGAAGCCACAGGGGGTGTGTGCGTGCATGCACCTGCCACTCCCTCTCACCCCAAGTTCCCCCATCAAGGAGTAGAGTTTCCCCATTTCCCAGTGGGGAGCCGAGACCTGACCGCCCTTCTCTTCTGGGGAAACTGAGGTAGAATCGTAGACCTGGTGACAGCATCTCCTCCCAAGATGTTCAGGCTGCAAATCCAAGCCAAGCGGGGCCCTTAGGCTAAAATAACACCCAGCGGTTGGTTGGCCAGAGGGCCAAGAAAAGACAATACAACCCCCACCCCCCAACATCTGGAAATAGTTGGGCAGCTCATTCCCCCCGCCCC